TCAATATCAAATCATCTTAATTTCCAATATATTCAATAATCACGACACACATATATTCAATACAAATGGCTGGATAAAATTAATTTTTGATATTGATGACTGATTTTCAATTAATGTGGCGACTTCTGTTGGCCCGAAGGCGTCACCAAACAATCAAACCACAAACCACACACAAATGTGTAGAAAGGCATGTTAAATCGAAGGTGTACACTGTACACGAACGATAACACACACAACACGCACCGGCAGAGGTCCACCATCAATGCGTGAGAATCCACCCCAGAAGCAACAATAGAAAGTCGCTCGAGCCATTAATAAATTATAATAAAAAATCTACCAATCTAAAAAAAAATAAATAATACGAGTGTATTGTATTTTTTGGAAAAACTCGCATGTCGTCATACTAATGCACGCATATTAACAATAAAAAGTTTGATTTCCAAAAGTTCAAATGTGAAAAAAAATTATTATTTCTCTATAAAAATACCATTAAATATTTAGAAGCCTATATGTGTATGTATCTATGTTTATGCGTTTTATATAAAATTGATTGCTTTCATATATGAGTTCGCATGTACGCTTATTGATGTCAGAGACGATCTGATAAGAGGGAAAATATGTTCCAACCAAATAAAATAATATAAATAAAAAATTATACATGGTGTTCCCTTACACTAATTAGTTAATGTTCATTTGCTATTGGCCACATTATCAGCTCCATCAGCTCCATCAACTCCATCAATAGTATCAACTTCATCATAAGGCACAATTCATATATTATCCCTAGTTCCAGTGGTTTTACTTCAGTTACGTTTTTTTGATTTTATTTTAATAGAAAAGAGTTTATTGATTTATATGATTTCATATATCTGTGTGTGCAAGTATCTTTCACTGTCCATTACATACGCTTTATATATGCAGAAATTGATTGGTGCTCAACTACTTTCTGCCTCATATTTTATGCGTTGATCGCATTTTGAAGAGGCTTTTGCGTTTGTTTGGCCTTCCTTTCGTCTAATTTTGGTTAATACTCTTATTTTTCCTCGAAATATTGTTTTAATAACTGTTACACATTCAGTTTGTTGTAATTATTTTATAATTATTATTATTAAGGTAATTTTTTTGTATTTTCCCCTTAAGTGTTACATTAAATTAACTCCAATTACTGAATTGAGTAATTACTGGTGTAACAAAACGATTACGAGGCATTACTTGTAATCAATCTTTTAAGTAAATTGCTGTCGTGGAACGAGGGTCACGTATCACATACAATGATAGTCTAAAAGATATATCTTTTTAAATAACATATTAAGATTAACTGATAAGAATATTATATCTGTTAATAATAATATGTATAAAAACGTATGTATTCATTTATGGAATGGAACTATAAAAATGCATTTTTCTTCTTCTTCTTTTTATTTACTATAGGATTAAATTAGGATTAAATTGAGTATATTTATGTGAAAATAATATCAAAATAATATGTTTCTGTAAAGCCCAATGTCCAGCATTCCCGACATCTCCTTGACGGTCGAACGGGTAAACTAGCTACTACAAATAATAATATGTTTCTGTGAAGCCCGATGTCCAGCATTCACGACATCTCCTTGACGGTCGAACGGGTAAACTAGCGACTACAAAAATATATTTTTTAATTTATAAAAAACGACTTCTTAATATAATTTGTTCAACTTCAATATATTAACTTGAATTATTCTATAGATCCCTTATTTGAATTGCTTTTCCAGAAGGTTAGCAAACTATCAGAAGGTCTCCATACAACATTTAATGAAAATCGTTTTTCATGAAAAAATTTTCCAAAGTATGAGAAGATAAAGAAGCTGGACTGGTCTAAAATTTGCTAATAAGCTATGTTAGTTGTAGAAGCAATTTACACTTTACTGAAGAATGCACTGAAGGTTTTAGCTTACATACGTAGTTCAAAAGTCCACTTTTTGTAAATCGGTTCACACTTTACAAATGTTTGTATCGAATCGATCCAAAATTTTATGGAATAATCTTCGCAAATATTTGCAACCAATTAATCGAAAATGTTATATTATAGTTTACCTTTATTGTTGAACCAATTTAATAGCTAATAACTAACCAACAGAATGAGTATTACATTCGAAAACACAGACATTAACTCCTTTTCGCCAATTTCCTTAGGTGCACATCACTTCTTCGAGTATGTTTTCAATTCAGAATCATCGTGGTGGATCTAGTTCTCATCCAGAGTATTGAAATGAAATATATAGTTATTTATCATTTAAAAATCATTTCAAATATTTATGACAAAGTCGCATTCAATATGTTTTGTTGCATTCCTACCGAATGCGGCAATCATTTTATAGAGTGAAACCTATGGCGATATATACTATTCCTCACTGTGCTTATTAAAGAGCCTAGAACTTCTTCTATTCTATTCAGATTTCATGCTTGGTAACTACCTAATCGAAACCAAAAATGAGTATTTCTGGCGCCAAGGTATATAATGATATCGGAAAGATATAATCAATTTCAAATTACTAAAACTGGGTGGAACTATTACGGTAGAGATTGATTGACTCGTTTCAAGGTAGTTATGCTTAGAAAACGGTCAGAATATGCAACACGACATGAATTTATAATGTTTCATTATTCAGTACTAATTTCTATTATAGTTAGTTCCATAATTTATTTCTATAAAATAAGTATTGATAAAGTTGTTACACAACAAAATAAAATTTTCAAGTCAATAACCAGTATAATATTCTTTGTCACTAAATGTTCGGTTGAATGTGCTCATTCTGAAATTTTAGCCCAGTTGGCTTATAGATCATCCCTTGACCCTTCTGTCTAGCATTGTTAAAGTGATGGAATTTCTTTTTATTCCTTTAGTTCAAGGTATCAAAAATTGACTTGTTTCAACTTGGCCTTAAAAAACGTACGTCTTATTTTTTGGCAAGGAATCTAGAAATGAGCGGAGAGATGGGAAAATATCACAGCTTGCGTTGAAGTATTCTTTCAGTAAAATAATCAAGTTTTTTAGTTATACAAAACCTGTTAAGTACTTTGCTAAGTACTTGTATAATTTAAAGGAACTTTTTATAGACCGGAAAGACCATTTAACACAAACCATATCGATGAACAACTTTGGAGGCATGACTTAACAATGATTACATATGTAGGTTTTTATTGGAATAAAGACTGGATAGTTTACTTCAAGTGACGTTTACGATAACATTTTAAGGTTATACATATATAGTATGTACTTATATACATTAAAATTGCAATAATAAATTTAATTGCATTTGAAAACATGAACTCGTGTTAACCTTAAGGATGTAGGCGTAACGAATCAAACAATTGCATTGTTTTGGCTGGAAATTTTGTCAAATAATTATTATATCAAAACACAGTAGAAGCAGTAGAAACATGCAACATCTTCATTATATCGAATTAAATTAATTAACTTAATTAAAGCAAAATTGTCATTGGGTATTATTAAAAATCTGTTTGGTTTTTTGTTTTGCAGTTATTTGTCGTGCGATTAATTGGATTTATATGTGATCCATGGGATCTTATGGGATTAAAGCGAGTGCTGGAACAATGCCGAAATGTGCACAAAAGCAGCACAAATTAAACTATTTACGCTGTGTTAATAATTAACAAAAAGATTATTTAACAAAAAAAAACCACAATGGAGACAAATTTCGCATTTTCCATTTTCCTGAATATAAACACAAAAAAAACCTTTACATCACAATTCGGAAAATGTTGACGATAATAATTCCGAATCACGCTCTGCGAAACCCTTTATTAGCAGCGCGTGTTTGTGTGACACTTAGATTTGATGTTACAGCATGCATGAATGACAGCAATAAATGCAGCAATGCTGCAATATAGCAATATAGCAATATAGCCATAGAGCAGCGACAATATGCAATCGCAATCATTGCGGGGCCCATAAAAGATATCGACAACATCAATTGCTGATTAAACATTATCACGAAGTTGCTAACTTTTTGTTATTTCTAATAACTGCAATAATAGTTACAACAAAAATTATTACAAATATCAATGTCGGCATTACGAGTACACAACGGAAACGGAAATGGGTGTATTAATTTGAGCATTTAACTTGATTAGAAGTGTTCGACATTCGCTTGCACAATTTTTATGTGGCTTTCAAGCCCAATTTGGCATTGCCCATTGGCCATTGGACATTTCATTTCGGATTTAGTACTCTTTTCTCTTGACATAAATCAGTGAAAATATTTTTATTAGTTCTATGTATGTATGTATGTATGTATGCGTATGTGTGTTTCAGATGATATATATTAACTAAAATATTTTTATAAATTTTTTTATTTGGTTTGAACACGCTTTTTAACATTTAATTAGTGCCATGGTCAATTTGCCATTTGCCATTTGCCGTTTGCTGTGTGGAGCAGGACCTAGAGAACTACGCGGGGCTGCGTAGAGCTGTAAACGATATTGTTGGCATGTGTCATTTACTTGCAATTGTGTTGCACAATTATGCTATTTGAAAGCACGTTGGCCAGTTTTGTAAACGGGTTAAAACCGTAATAACTATAATAATAAAATTAATGAAAATATAAATAATGTTCATGATAAATTTCATTTAATAAATTCTTCGGTTCTTTTGTTTCAACTAAATAAGTAGAAGAATACTGTATATATATATATATTTTATATATATTTAAATGGCATTATATAATCTGTGACTTAAATATGTCGATTGTTGTGATTGACACGCAAATATTTTCCTATAATTA